GAGAGAGAAAGATGATAAAAGCAAACCAAACGATATTAACTGCACTAGCACAAAATCACGAGAAATGGAGACATGTAGAAGTAACCAGGAACCAACAGAGAGATTCAAAGAAATTGTTTCCCACTGCAACTAGAAAATGTAAACTGACGAGTCAAAAATAAAACCTAAAAAGAACCGAAATGTAAAATAAAGCAGTCCCTCTCCCCTTCCCCTCTGACGAAAAGAAAACTACAGTGCAGGAAAAGACAAAAGAATAAACTTACTGTTATCCCAAAAGACATTCTATTTTTCCAAATAACGGGAACTGTTTTTCCCTTGAAACCAACACAAAAAAAGCGTATATCTGTACAAGTAATTTACTAAAACGAGTAGGAATGACACGAACTGCGAGACGCACTGTACATTCTCGCACATTTTTCAATCAAAATACAATGAACAAACGCTACATAAAAACTTTCCATCCTAGCACAACAAGCAAACATAGAAACGTCGTAAATTAATAAGGCTAGAATTTGTATCAACTCAATAACATTTCCTAGCTGCAGCGGTATTTTTAGACATACTATTCCCTTCGAAAACCCACTCTGAAAACCAATCAGAATCATTGCAGTACTACAAAGAAATCCAAAACTAAACTCCAAGTCGTTTAAAAGCTCCTGTATTTTAAGAAAACATGTCGACTGCTAACCATCAAAAGCCGAACCTGTGACACAACTACTAAAAATGATAGTGCTTCAGACCCCACTTACGCTAAACACGGTTTCTGGAACCAATACTCGAAAGTACGAAGTAATTAGAAGGCAGGTCAACGTGCACTCAACAATGATGGAAGCAGAGGATAAAAAATGAAATAACACAGAGAAAATTTAAAAAATAATCTCAAGATTTATCATTATGACAGCCACAATAAATGCTGATTAATTCACACTTCGCCCGAAATAAAAAAAAAACACATTGAGCCAATACAAGAACTTACGTTTCTTCAACTTTCCTAGCGCCTTTCTTTCCTGCACCAACAACCACTAAACCAAACATATGATACTACAGTGACAAACAGATTAACCCTAGTCTTATCCAAAATACATTGATACAAATCCCTTAAATACGGAAAACAACAGCAATTTAACTTTCGGATATACGAATTCCTGCTCTCACCGTATTTCAAAGGAAACAGTGAAGAGAGCACATCGCAGAAGAGTAAAATAAAAATAGTGAGGAAAAAAATAATGCACCACTCCCGCCTTTCTCAAAGAATTATATCTAAAAAAAAAAAAACCCTTGAAAATCCATATTATAACACAGGAAAGTGAAAGTTGAAAGAAATGAGATGCAGAAATAAAATATAAAAAAAAAAAAGTTGAGAGTGACAAACGGTAAAATGTTCAACCGGTGAGGATAAGTGAGCATCCCAAAAATGTCGTCTGCCTTGATTCATTTAGGAAATCAGGACGACGGAAAAATAAATCATACTGCGGAGATGTGAAAAGTAGCCATCCAAAACAACGGATATCCAGTCTGGCAGACGTACCAGACATATGATGCCAACCTCGGTTAACACCCGGAAGTGCGAGTATCCGATCGCCTGCGGGTCATCGGCCTCAGCAAAGTAAAATAGTGCAAATACTTTCTCATTACCCATCAATTCTTTCACTTCTCCCAAATGCAACCAAAACGATCCTCTGCCAAAAAAGCCTAGACCAAAATCATACCTTAAATGTCTTTCCCTTAATTTTGAAAACACAGTTGAAGCTGCTCAAACTACCGAAGATTCGCCCAAAAAAAAAACTAAAATTAATTATTGAAACAAACGCTATTCATACTACAAACTCTTCAGAAATATAGAACAAGATGGAACAAATGACTGACTACCTTAGCACTGAGATATTCCCTAACATAGCTGTTACTCAATCAATGCAACCAGTATTCCATTTTCTACTTCACAGACTATGAATCCTTCAAACCGAGAAAAAAAAAAATAAAAAAATAAAAGAATAAAGCACTTTTCTGAAACTATCATCTGTGTGCACAACGAACATTTAAATCAGAGAGAATAAATAACTCCTATCCTTCCAGTTTTTAGACTGAAGAATAGACCTTTCAGTCAGCCCCAATCACAAAAAAAAAAAAAAAATCCCGATATCGACAATTAACAAAAAA